TTCACTGTATGTCAGTGCACCCAGGAATAACTTCCTTGGTAGATTAGTTGGACGGCCAAGAATAAAGATATAACAACTTTATTCCACTCAAATAAAAACAGAAGGCACTCAAATGTGGATCATTCTTAGCACTGGCAGTACAATACAAAAGAGAGACATACGGTTCCCAGCTGCCGGCACTTCTGGCATTCCGAAATCTCTTTGCCTGTTCCGGGAGGCAGAGTCCACAACGTCCTGCGTCACAATGTGATGACGAGTTTCGCCGCAATTGGCTTCATCAGATCACATGTATCGGCCAGTGTCAGTTGGGGCCCTAATAAAACAATTATTGTGGGGACCTACTGTCCTCCCCCCCTGGCCCCCACCCCTGAGCGGTGGGTGGGGGCCCTAATAAAACAATAAGGGGGGGGGACCTACTGTCCTCCCCTCCGGGCCCCCACCCCTGCGCGGTGGGTGGGGGCCCTAATAAAACAATAAGGGGGGGGAACCTACTGTCCTCCCTGGCCCCACCCTGAGCGGTGGGTGGGGTCCCTAAATGAAACCCCAAACAAGGTGACTAGGGGTCCCAAGCCCCTAGTCACCCCCCCACCCAAAAAAAAAACTATCCCCTACCTACCCCCCTCACCCTAAAAATAGTGAGGGGGGAATAAAATAACTAACCTGTAAAAAAAAATTTAACTTACCATTTGACGTCTTCTTTTTTCTAAAATCTTCTTTCTTCAGCCCCCAAAAAGGCCAAATAAAAATCCATCATACCCGTCGCACTTAAAAAAAAAAAAAAAACGAGCGCAAAAAAAAATTAATCCATGTTCGCCCTTCGAGGGCACGCCGCGTACTGAGCTCCGCAGGGCGGGTCAAGGCTTATAAAGCCTTGCCCCGCCCTGCAATTAGGCTTAGAACACTCTGATTGGTGGGTTTAAGCCAATCAGAGTGCTCTGTGTCATTTTACACAGCGTGGGAAAGTTCTTTTGAATTTTCCCACGCTGTGTAAAATGACTCATAACACTCTGATTGGTGGATCCACCAATCAGAGTGTTATGAGTCATTTTACACAGCGTGGGAAAATTCAAAAGAACTTTCCCACGCTGTGTAAAATGACACAGAGCACTCTGATTGGCTTAAACCTACCAATCAGAGTGTTCTAAGCCTAATTGCAGGGCGGGGCAAGGCTTTATAAGCCTTGACCCGCCCTGCGGAGCTCAGTTTAGATTAAGTGGTTACTTAATCCACCAATCAGAGTGTTATGAGTCATTTTACACAGCGTGGGAAAATTCAAAAGAGCTTTATAAGCCTTGACCCGCCCTGAGGAGCTCAGTGCGCGGCGTGCCCTCGAAGGGCGAACATGGATTAATTTTCGCCCGCTCAGGGGTGGGGGCCGGGGGGGAGGACAGTAGGTTTCCCCCCCCCTATTGTTTTATTAGGGCCCCCACCCACCGTGCAGGGGTGGGGGCTGGGGGGGAGGACAGGCTGCTCACTGTTTAGTAGACATGCCCCTACTCGCGGTATAGCGAGTCGGGGCATTTGGGAGATTTTAATCTCCCTTGTGCTATTATGGGGGTCATATTGACCCCCATAGAGTGAGGGGGGACCTGGGGGGGCTTATGAAGTGGCGGAGAGCACTGCTCCCTTTCGCTTCTATCATTACATATTACAAGGAGGGAGCTGCACGCCGGTAGCTCCCTCCTTGTAATAAACTGAACGAACAAACTAACACTGATACACTGATACACTGATACACAGTGTTAGTTTGTTCGGCTGATATTTCTATTCACTCATTCGTCTGTCTGATGAATGAATGAGTAGATGAAATTCCCGTTCACATGTCCAGGTGTTTCACTGGGCATGTGCGGGAATCTCACAGTCTGTCTAGTGTGGGCTGATGACGTGTCCCTGAGGGACTTCACCTACCCACACAAAGATGGCTGCGCCCTGAATAAAGATCGGGGCAGAAAATAAAGATTTAAAAATAGGTAATGTGGGGGGCTTAGGGGCATTTGGGAGTGACTAGTGGGTCAATTGGATGTAGTGGAGGCGGGAGGGGGGTTAAAAAAAAAACGGGATTCGGCATGACAGTGCCGCTTTAAGGTATTTAATGTGATTCTACAGATTTTACTTGCTTTTTAGGTGTATTTCTATTTGAAAGTGATTTTTCTGTTTATGTCTCTTTAAATTTTGTTAGATCAGAATAGCTGACTTTGAGAGAGACAGGGATTTATTTGCATATGGACTTTTAATAGTACCTATCTGGACTAATACACGTCCATATAGGCAGATATAAAAGAGATGGACACTGGCCGATACCTGTGATCTGATGAAGCCAACTGCAGCGAAACGCGTCATCATATTGTGATGCAAGACGTTGTGGACTCTGCCTCCCAGAACAGGCAAAGAGATTTTTAGAATGCCAGAAGTTCCGGCATCTGGGAACCGTATGTCTCTCTTTTGTATTGTACTGCCAGTAGTGAGAAGGATCCACATTTTAGTGCCTGCTGTTTTTATTTGAGTGGAATAAAGATGTTATATCTTTATTTTTGGCCGCCCATCTAATCTATCAAGGAAGTTATTCCTGGGTGCAGTAACATACAGTGAAAAAGCGCAAATAGCGTGGGCAGTCTCTTTAGCTGCTCTTTGTTTGTGAGTGTGACAATCTACCTCTTTTAACTATATATAATTGTGTTTGCAATATTATACCATTTTGCTTTTATGTATTTTTTTCATGTGGAAAAATCAACTCTTTATGAACAAAATGTGTGAGTGAAATAGCAAATTTATCTTGCATATTGGTTTTAAGTATTGACTTACACAAAGCTTATAATGTACTTTTAATATTTATGCACTTTAATGTGGAATGGTGCAATAATATTTGCACATATATCTTGCAGTGTGTTGGCACAGAAATATTGCACAAAATACTGGTTTTCTGCATGAGAAACTATAGTTAACTTTCATTCTGAGCACAAGCACTTTGTTGCATTGAATTGTTTTTCTTGATTGCAATACACAAGATTTTTTTGTGAGCACAATCTTTAAAGACACAGCACAGCGCACTTTATATTTGGTTTATTGCAGATGCCTAGTGGTTCAGGTATCTTGATGGTCTCCATATGAGTACATATAGAAAAAAGCACAAAAAAGAATTCAGTAGTGCAATATGTACATGCAACAGAACAAAAGCAGCAAATAAGATTGGCTTACTCACATTTAATAGAGCTATAACCTGCTCTGGGATCCCCTTACTTTCTAGTTTGCTTTTTTTTTTTTTGTCTTTTTTAATTAAAACTACCATGGTAAAGGCTCTGAGTAGCCAAAAACGTTGCAAGAATATTGGGGTGGCTTACCTGTAAATAAATACCTTAACCATTTGTATCCTAGAGTGCTGCCCGTGTTTTCTGTTTGTTTAATACTTGTACAATTTGTTAATGTAAGTCAACATTTTATCTGCTTCCAGAAGCTGTCATCATGACCATTTCATACAAAGTAAAAAAATACAAAATATTTAAGTTTTTATGATATGAAGGACCTGAGCAACTTTGTAAGCTAGTACTCTAATACACCAATGTTGGTAAGTAAAGGAATAATCATTACACGTTGGTGCAATGCACAGTAGACCCAAGACTTCCAACTACTGCAAACTGCTTTGGAAAGCTATGCAAAGTTGCTTTTAAACATAAATATAATTAGGTAAAATGTCCATGACTGATTTCTATTTTATTCCATAATTTATCTATAAGGCTACCATTACTTTTATTCTCTATCAATTTAAATCAGTTTTACTTTCAACCATGAACAATATTTAGCAAAATGTGATTTTCCAGTTAGCACAATAGTAGGCAAAGTAAATGTAATAAACATTCATGCTATCAAATGCATTGTTTGTTCCAAATTGGCTTGATTCAATTACCCAACTTATTCTATTTAGGCTCATTTGGCAGGACAGACTTGGATGTATAAAACCAAAATTGCAATGTTTAATATTATAAAGGAAACTGACTGCAATATAGCATGAAATAATATTTAAAATGGGCACCTCAAAAAGCTTATCATTTAATGAGCTGTTCTCAAACCAGGGGCCATATGGTGGGGGATTAATTCTTTAGTGTAGGGGATAGGGGTAGTATTGTGGGCGGTAGAGACAGTTTGTTAGGGTGTAGAGGCAGTATTGTTGGGGGTAGTGGTAGTATTGCGGAGGGATGGGGCAGTGTTGTGGGGGTAGGGGCAGTATTGAGGGGGATAAGGG